GCAGGAGGTCGAGGACGTAGTGGTGCTGGTCTTACTAGCAGTTGTGGTGGTCTTACTGGTCGAGGTCACGCCGCCCGATCCGGTGGTGGTAGCCGTCGTAGTGGTGCCACCAGTAGCCACGATGCTCGGCCACGAGGTGACAGTCACACTACTGTAGGTACCAGAGGCAGAGGTAGCCGCACAGGTGCCGGGCACGCTGCTGGCAGAGGTCTCGCCCCAAGAAGGAGGCATGACAGAGTTACGACGGTTGTTGGCGGTCAGCAGAGCAGCGTAAGACCAGGTCAGGTCGCGAGCAGAAAGCTCGTCGCCATCAGACTTGTCGTATTGCTCGGACAGAGAGCCGTTGCTTGCGGCGTGAGTTTCCTAATCCTGTTAGTACGCACCCTCTGTAAATATGAGCGCACATCTAGCGTAGACTTACCACAATAGAAACGAAACCATCAGCGAAAGTCTTTACGGCATCCACAATGCTGCTATAGGTTGAGCTGGACGAAGAGTACGTGCCAGTGGTAGCATCACTGTACAGAGCCTGGAAGAAGTCAAGCGACACGTCTGTGATCTCCAACGACCCCTGCTTGTCCCACTGGTACAGAGCATCGTACAGCTGCTCCGCGGCAGCCAAGGTGCACAGGAACCACGGGTTGCCGTTGTAGTAGCTGTCCTCGGGGTACCGACCGACGGCAACCGCCTCACTGTCACTGAGACCATCGTTGAGAGTATAGATCGAGCGGAAAGAGTCTACAACCTCCTTATGGTTGGCGAGCGCACGCGGGGAGCAGGGCTGGAAGGTGGAGTCGTCGCACCCAGCCTCAGGATCAAAGGTGTGGATGCTTCCCAGGAGGGTGTTGGTGTCCTTGCCGGAACGGCTGCTATCAAAGTTGGCCAGGATGTAGCTGCCGGTCCAGAAGGACTGCAGGTAGCAGAGAATCTGAGGTGCCTGCGAATCACACCAGGAGCAGGACGAGCCGACGGCCGTCGCGAAGGCACTACCTTCGACGAGGGCGCGGTGCTGCACAGCAATAGTGAAGAAGGACGAGCCATTAACTTCTTCCCAGAGATCTGCGACCGCGAGTTAGCTCCGATGCACAAACACCCTTGAACACCGATCAGTCAAACACACCATATCCCGTCTGGTTCCAGTACTGAGCCACATACGACAGGTCATTCCTAACGAGGGGCCAAACAATCTCCGTTGCAGCGCTGGTGTAGCCATTGTCCTGACCAGTCAGCTACATATGTTGCAGATCAGACGCAAGGGGGTGGAGAACATACAAGCAGCCACTGCCCGAAGCCGATCATAGCAGTTGCTCTCAGGGCAGGACCATCACGCTGCGGCCGTCCCCAAGACCCGGTGTAGGCAGTCTCATCGACATTGAACTTGGGCTCACCAAGACCACCGCTGGACAGATCACCAGAGGGGTTACTGATACCCTGAACAATTGCCTGAGAGGAGATGTAGTTCTCAATGGTGGAAAGGAGATCAGTATCTCCATTGCGGAAGAGATCGACGAGGGTCTTGATGACGAGACCAGAGTCGCGAGTCCAGGTGTAGAAGTCTACAAGAATAAGAAGACACGCCAGTCAGCATCAATCAACCAAGACACATTCATTATCCAAGCTCAAAACATACAGTCCGGGTTATCGGTGCTGGGACTAGCAACGACAATGCCCGAGTCCGCGCCCGACACCCAAGCACCGTCCGCCCCGATGTTATTCAGGATCGCAGTACGAGCCACGGTCGCTTCGTTGCTCAACCACGAATCCAAGGTCGCGCGCTTGGAAATAACACTTGCCAACCCCGAGCAGACAAGGCCACTCAGGGCGAGAAGAGATCGGAACGACATTGCGGGCGGGGGAGTAACGATGTTGAGAATGAAGCTCAGTCACTCAGTTGTCGCGTCTTGAGGGGGAGGAAGCTACTTTCAACCCCTCACTGACCCCTGACCGACCACTTCAATTTATAGCCAAACCAACATCTGCACGAGGAGGGGAAGCTGAAGGAAGAAGCACATGCATCAACACTCAACACATATTGCAATGCAACTTCGCTTAGCATCTAGCTTGGAATTCCTGCAGAGTCATCTCGCCACTTCAGCTCTTCAGCTTGTGAACGGACGAGGCCCCAGAACGACGAATCTCCGGTGGCGTGGAAGAACCAGCCTATCGCGGTGTCGGGCCGGCCCGGGGGAAATTGCACTGAATCCACCGGCACTGCAGAATGGCCCTGTGCCTTGGAGATGTGTCCAATCGCTGGCCTCACTGACCTGAATTGCAATTTATTTCAATTCCCGGGGATTCGCCGTCCCCGGTCGAGCGTGGTGGCTTGATTGGCTGCTATAACAATGGTAATTATACCTAACGGGAAGCTATAATGCAGGTCCCAAGGTCCAACGCGTGGTATATACCCTTCCATTAATATAACTAGTACTACTTATTATGACCCTATATATCCCTTTGCCGAGGCCAGACACTTCCATCATTACTCTCATAAGGCTAGGTCCCTGACCCTCCGGACCCCTCCGCCAATGGCATCAGATGTGGAACGCCGCGGTATTCTGCAGGATGAACTCATATGTCCCGTTGCGGAAATCATCCGTAAGGAGACTGGCGCTGTTCGCTCCGAAATTCATCAACTGTCGTGATTCCTTCCACTGGGGCCACTCCATGTACTCCCCCCGATTGGAGTTCGGATCCAGCGTATACACAAAACTCAGATAATACGTGTGGCTGGAACTCGCTGCATAGTTGGGCTTGATCCCATAGAACACCTGCAGCAGGTCACTTCCATGGAAGGTCCCCAGAATTGGCGTGCCATAGTCATAGGTCGCCAGGTACGACCATTTCGGGAGGTCAGGAGAGAGCTCCTCTGCATATGAGAGGAATGCCCGCCGGGTAATGGTGAAGACCAAGTCGCCGAGGATGGCGGCCAATCGCTTAAATTGCGGATACCAGTTGTTGGCCGTGCCCGTCCTGAAGGGAGACCCATATGTGGTGGTGTCTGGGTACAGGGCCACGAATTCTTCAAGCTGCTCCTGGCTAGCGTCATAGAAGAAGTAGGAGCCCAGATAGTCGACTACCTCGTCGATCGTCGTAATATTGGACTGAAACAAGGCGAACAAGGTCCCCTCATCTTCTTGGTCGCCCACGATGAATGGGACCCGGGCATACTTCCCTGCTTTGCCCAATACGTCTGGTGACGCCGACAATGCCGTCCCGTCTGGTCGAGGCACATATGATAGCGCCACGGAGTGGTAGCCTATGATTCCCGGCACGGAGTTTGCCGCATTGAGATAGTCGGTGTAGTCTAGCTCACGCAGACAAGCCAGGGTGTCGTTGGAAGAGGAACAGCCTGCAGAGTCCACAACGGCATCATATACTTGCTGTCCCTTGACCCCGTCGACGGGGTCTGCGGGAACAACACTACCGGAGTCCATGATGGCTCCCCGGAACAAGGGCTTGTCCTTGTAAGTGATGTTTCCGTCGTACAAAATCATCTGATCAAAGACAGAAATAGCCCCTGCTGATTCTCCCCAGATTGTCACCTTGCCCGGGTCTCCACCAAAGGCCTCGATGTTGTCGGCCACCCACTGTAGGGCAAGGCGTTGGTCAAGTAGACCTAAGTTGGCGGACCCGTCCTCCAGAATCTCCTTTCCGGGCAGAAACCCGAACCCCCCTACGCGATAGTTCATCGCTACAAACACGATAGGCATGTTCTTGTCTATCGACGATGAAACCATCGTTGTACCGTCATACATGGCCTTTGAACCAAGTTCAAAGCCTCCACCAAAGATCCAGACCAGCACGGGCAGCTTCGCGTCCGCAGTGGTCCCGGCTGGGCGCCGAATGTCAATGTTCAGACAATCCTCGAGGGCATTGGTAGCCGACTGTACCAAAGGGAGATCCGCAAGGAGGCCAATGATCGATGTCGGGAATTCGCTCTCATCCGTGGTGAAGTACATCTGCGGACAAGACTGCGAGGCACCGGTTGCTTGAACGGTACCAAGGGCGGTCTCCAAAGGCTGTGGAGGCTTCAGACGCAGCGAGCCTGTGGGGGCCTGCGCGAAGGGGATATTGTTGAAGCTCTCAACATCGCCCGACTTGCCAATGATGGTGGCCGAAGGATGCGCAATAGTGACAGTAGGAGCTGCATCCCGTTGGACTGGGGTGGCCCAGACGGCGAGGGGAAGGGAGAGCCAAAGAAGGGCCTTCATGACGGCCATGATCTGTACCGCTATGGGTCACAGGCTCTCCGATCGGGCTACGAGGAACCCTATATACAGTTTTCCATTTTCCCACCTTCGTTTTAAGTGCCGGAAATCCATCTATGTCTTGGAGCATAGTCCGAGAACCGAAAAACCAGCTCCCAAAGGGTTTTCGACATCTCCATGTGCCTCCTCGGCTGTGGATCCAGTTATGAGACCTGCATTTTAGGCATCAAGACAGCGAAAGCCCCTATTCCCCTAGCCAGCTGGCCTGACGATTGCTGATCCAAAGGTTCTCCATCATGGGGGAAAGGCAGCGTGGGCGGAGAATATCACGCCAACCGGGTGGCCCAGGAACGGTCGAACCCGTTCTCATGCGCAAACCGAGGCTGGTACAAGGGGGGGAACCGTATCAGCAGATCAGTGAGATTATATTAAGCCAACATTGCTAGCATCCTGTTGGTCACTTCATGAGGATTGAGTTGATCAAATGCCGCTTCCCCCGCAGTTCGAAGGCTGCAGAATGGCTGCCTCTGCGGGGAAAGGAGCCTCGACCGTTGCGCTTTGGTTCGCCAACTCGGACATTTCACCCGCTTTGTCGAATCCTCCGATTCGCATGCCTGGTGGTACAACTCAGTTGGGCTGCTTGCATAGTTCAGCAATATTGAGGAACTCAATGTAGCAAACACAACGTGCTTGTGGTTGTGTTGGGGTTTGGAAAGCGGTTCGGAACTCCGACCAAAAAATGAAGGAAAAAGGAATCATATGCAAATCCGGTTCGTGGGTCGGCCGATCGTCGGCTATCAAACCGCACCCAAACTATGTACAGTCAAAGCTAAGAATAAATCCCCCAAGTACCAAAATCCAGTCAACGCCCCTTTAATTTTATACAAGACAAGCCCGCCAAAATTCAGTCCCAACGAAATTTTTATTTCTCCCATCCATTCCAACGCTCGAAATCCCCCGTGTCGAGGTCAAATAAATCCAACATCCGTCCAACACTCTGGTCAATGAGGTCCTCGATACTTGCGGCCTTGATATAGAATGCAGGCACGGGGGGGAAGATGACTGCCCCAGCTCGTGTAACCTCCAACATGTTTCGCAGATGGATCTCGCTTAATGGCGTCTCCCGCGCTACTAGCACCAATCGCCTGCGCTCCTTGAGCATCACATCTGCTGTCCTTGAGATGAGATCGTCGCAGAAGCCCGAGTGGATAGCAGCCAATGTTTTCATGCTGCACGGTACCACAATCATCCCGTCTGCGCGGAATGAGCCGCTGGACACTGGGGCAGCCATGTCATTGATGTTGTGTACGTAGTCGGCCAGCGCTTTCACGTTTGAGGGATGGTAGTCGGTCTCGTATTTGATCGTAGCCTCCGCCCACTTGCTCATCACCAGATGCGTCTCCACGTTGAGACGGCGCAGGGCAATTAGGACTTTGATGCCGAGCATGGCTCCGGTAGCACCCGTCATGGCCACTACAATGCGGCGGCGACGGGGCGCTGGACGGGCAACGGCCACGTGATCATTATCGATGGGCATTTCGCTGGTGGGAGGAGATGCACGACCGGAGTTTGGGGTAGTAGTACCGGACAGAAGTGCGTTGAACATATGTGTTGATGCGGAGTATATAGTGTTGTAGTAGGCACAATTGCGTAGATTGAATGTTCCCGTCGTAGGGTGATTTGTCTGATTGGATGGACTGCAATGATAGCTGTCAGGAAGTTGAGCTGTCAAGTATATATATATAGCCCAGTGGCAACCAGGTAGCTACAGTAAATCATCGAGATGAAAGCTTTTTTGGTGGGTTCGATTTCTTCGAACCCTTTCCTGCCTTACGGTCAATCTCGGTGTCGCCCTGTTTTGCCATTGAGTCCGAGATCTCCGAGCCACCGAGGGGCCGTTCCCGAGGGGCGGCATAACGTCATGGATAGCTCAAAGAAAACCCAGCTCTTTGGATAAGTCAAACATGGGTACTACGACAGTTAGCTCGGTCAATGATACTCGGCAATCTCGGCATACCATTCATGATAGAGTCAAGATAGCTGGCTGGTGAGAAGTCTTGACCGAAGTCGTCCGGGATCCCGTTCGGCATACTGCAAAATCAGCACCCACCACACAGCTCCACATATCAGACAAAAGTGGGCGCACATACCCATAGACAGGAAAAAATGGCTGGGGCTGTTCCGCGCGTTCTGTCCCAACATTTGCTTCCCCCTTTTCACGTTCAACTGCCGTTCGAACCGCATTGCGCAGAGTGATTAACGCCCGTATATGCCGTTCCGATAGCCATTGCCCGTTCTCCGATGTTGTGTTCTCCACTGTACCCACTGAACCTGCGGCAGAGAAGACCTCAATCACCTTTTGCTGTAAATCACGGCACTCGGGATCACTTCGGGTCTCCTCCCAAATGCAGAGAAGTAAAGTGGAACTAAGAACTGTGTGCACCATTGACCAGGTTCGGAGGGGGACAGCACTAAGAGCCTGAAAATCCAAAAAGGCCCTAGAAGCGTCGATCAGGCTCATTTTGGCGCGGGTGCGCAAAATATCATAGGACGCGTCTTGCATAACAATGCGCTTCAGCGCTGGACGTGTCAAGACGGAAATGGCTAGAGACATGTGCATTCGCAAAGCCAGGTGCTCCAAGTTGTGTTGGAGGCTTTTGCATTCCTGGCGGTCACGTAAATGTGGCTGAGTGCGTTGGTTGAGGCTATCAATCGTGGCCAAAATGTCAAGCTGTCGCGCATTTTCCGGTATTTCGGGACCATCTGTTGTGATCATGTTCAAAGCAATTTGGCATAGAAAATACATGGCTTCCGTAAAAGAAAGTTCGTTGCTGGAGAGAATCGAATAATCTGGAGCCCACCCAGTCATGGAGACTACACGAGGCCTGTCGTAACATAAACAGAGCAAGCAATCTTGCCAAACAACAGTGTACCTGTAACCGCGTCAGCTTGGATCGCTATCTGTAGCATTGCTTATGTACCATAGCTTTCGTGCTTTGTATTTGACATGGTCCGGTAGGTGTGCTACACTCTTTTCGGTGTGAAGACCCAATGTCTGTGCAAGACGGACTGTTGTCCCTAACAAAGCCCATGCTGCATCAGACTGGCCATTGTTTTGCAGAGTGTTCCCTATAATCAAGAGTGCTTGTATGATGTCCATCGTCGGACGGAAGAGAAAGTTGGCTAGTCGAAGAGCTTGAAAGGATCGTTTGGCTTATCTTTGTTAGTTCAACATGCATAAACAATCATTCTATGTGACGTACCGAAGTCCTGGTATAGCTCGGTTCTTTGCATGTAATCCAGGTCGGAATAATGCGCACCAGACGCCAAGGCCGCAAGTAGCAGGCTAATCATCCCGACAGACCGATCAGTGGCCCAACGTTCACAAATCTGTGAAGTGTTCTGCAGCTCTCCTGCTGCAAGAGCATTGAGGTATGAACACACATCCTGCTCGAATCTCTCAATGTCAAGTATAATAGGGTTGAAAGGGTGGGCTGATATTCTATAGAAATGAAAGAACCTGCCCTCTGTTAGTGGCTGCTGTGATCAACAACAAGGTGTGCTTACTTCAAGAGTTCCGTTCGCTGTGGGATGATTCGTAGAAGCTCCCTCCACCGGTCCTGAGGCGTTCGGAAGTCCATAAATGGATAGCTACCGTAAGTATTTTGCAGGCCTAGAACAGAGCCCACCTCACGGGTCATGGAGCCATTGGTATCTTGCGTGCGATTACGCAAATAAGATAATACCGAGTTGTCGCCCGAGTAGACAATGTCATTATCGGGACCATCGGAAGATGGGATACGAGTATTATAGTACTGCCTTGTCTCCGTCTGAACCTCTGGTAAACTGCGTGTTGAGGGCAGAGTTTGTGGCTCGGCATCGAGTCCCTGTTCAGCGACTGATGTCTGATTTGGTCCGCGAGGAGCAGCCGAGGAACGTCTTTGGCTGGTATTACGGGACTTTTTAGACCCAGAGAAATCTTGATCATACACACATATTTGGGGATGGCCCCGTCGACGGCATGTTCGACAGGGCTGAGTGCTGTCGCATTTCACCTTGCGCTGGCGGCAAGGATAACACGCTCGAGCCTCGCGCTGATTGCGTTTCTGTCGCAGCACGCGGTCGATCTCTTCACGATTTATCGGAGTGCCCATAATTCTACTACCGCTGTGTCGGCACCTCAAGAGTGCATATTTTCCGAGAAGGATTTTGCGGAATTATATTGCTTCTTTCTCCGGGGTATTTGTCGATATAGTCGCGGTGGTCGTGCAAAGCGTCGAAGTGGCGGATCTGATCGGCACCTCGGTTCCGAGATGAGTCAGCAATTGGTATAAATGAAAGCCAATTCGAAGTACAAACTCAATTAGAATGGTAATGTGGATGGAAAACAAACTATCGGACAGGGGATGGCCTACTACGCACGAACTCAAGACCGTAAGACTGTGGGGTGAAAGATCTTTTGCACGCTGGCATTCAAAAGATGGCGATCTAATATATATATTTGGAGACGTAGCCGACGCGGGAGATGATAGATAGTACTATTAGTAGTGATGCACTAGCCCACAAGTGTTATTTAGTGTAGAATGATTTACCTCTAGTAGTTCCACCCACTAAAATTCGTCGCTTATGATTATTCATAGGTTTTGATTATGATTAGATGTTATGTCAACTCTCTATCCGCTTACGAGCAGTAGTGGGGATGCTATAATGAATGAGAAAGGAAAGTAAATAAATCTATGCTCTATGTGCTCTATGTCTATGTACCTGCCAGATCAATTCAAAATGGTATCAAGACAAATACGGTTAGTTGCTAAAACCCATCGTGGTCCAGTTGTCCAAAATCTTCTGTTTCAGGTCCTCCGGATAAGATTGGTTGAAGTCAGCAGCCTCCCAGTTGCGACCAGTGGTGTATTCAGTTGGCATGAGAGCATCGGACACAATCTTTCCGCCTCGGTGGGCGGGCCCATTTCCGTGTCCCATGTACGGAATCAAGGGGAATCCACGAACGTCCTCAAACAAAGTCTCATCCATTCCAGGACGGCAGCGGGTGGAGAATGCCCAGAGTACATCCTTTCCTTCATAGACATCAATGTCGTCACCGACCAAAACCAGGCGATGAATAGTGTATCCGGCCTTGTGGTTGAAGACAACATCTCCCACTCTCTTGCGGAATTCCTCAGATGTTGTCTTCATCGCGCGTAGCTTCTCAGTATCAACCCGCAGAGCAACCCAGGTGACTTGTGACTCGAAAGGAGCGAAGGCATCAGTGATGGGAAGGTCATTATGCTGGCAGAGCTTACGGATCTCCGCCGCAGCCAGAGAGCCGATCATGGTGTGCTAGACAGTGTTAGTTCTTGGCTATGGACGGCACAACGGGGACTAAACTTACTGTTTCATCCGTCAAGCGGCCACAAGAAGACATCGGCATGATGGCGTTGCTGCGATAGGTGATCCGGTTGACCTTGTATGTGGCGCCAAGATGGGTATCCCCAGGGAAGATGTAACCATGCATCTCACCAAAAGGTCCTTCTGGACCAGTCTCGCTGATAGACAGAGTACCTTCGAGAACGATTTCCGAGGTAGCGGGGACGTATAGATCGTTCGTATCACATTTGACGAGCTCTAGGGAAGATCCCGTCATAGCGCCCACGTACCCAGCTTCGGTAACACCATCGGGGATGGGCATGCTGGAGGCCATAATGGCCGCGGGTGGGACACCAAAAGCCAAAGCCCAGGGAACATCACTCCGGCCCTCCTTCTTCCACATCTGGTGAATCTGCCAGATGTGCTGAGGAGGAATAACCAGGCCGGTCAGATGGTTCTTGTCATGGACCATCGCGCGGGCAATAGACCAGTTGGTCCAGGTTCCATCAGGAGACTGCACGATGTGCATACCATAGGTTTGGATGTATTTACCACCATCCGATTTGTGAATAAGAGGAACGGGGAGTTCGGTGAGGTCGAACTCTGAGTCATTTAAGCTGTTCTCCTTGCATGGCCCGGTGGGAACAATGGTTGGAGGAATGGGAGGCATTTCGCTGGCGGAGAGCATCTTGTCAAGAATCTCACGCATTGAAGCCGTAGGCGGGAGGGCTAGGTGACGAGCAAGGCGGCCGTAACGATCAGCAGACGACTTCCTGAGAGAGCCAGGAGCCCCAAGTATACGGAAGAGGCCATTCTTCATGCCAATGAGGTTGTTGAAGAGAGGAGCCTTGTCGTTGGTCTCACATACTCGACGGGTGATAGCAGCAGCTTCGAGATTGGGGTCGATGGGGGTATCGATTTCCACAAGGTCGTTGTCGGCCTTGAGGGCCTCAACGAAGGAGCGGAAACAGAGATGAGCGGGTTGTGCAGACATATTGATTGATGGTACTAGTGTGATGATGTTTTAGAGGGGTTGGACGGACTGTTCACAGAAGAGCCTTCCCATTCGAGGGCATTTATAGCCAGACATGATGATACTTGCCGGCTAAATCGGGCTTGCCTCAAAGCTCTGACAGTAGCCTCATAATCTGGAACTTTCGCATCTAGACTTGGTTCGGTATTCGGGTTCGGGACTCGGGACTCGGTATCTCGCCATGTGGATATGTTCCCTGTAGGGATTGGCAGTACGGATCAACCGAGTTGATGAACGTTGAATAATGTGCCCCACAGTGTTTTAAAAGATGCATCATGCGACCCGGAAGCAAGATTTAGGAGAGTAGTGGTCGATCAAATTGCTTGTAGCTGTGTGTATGGCTGCATTAGGGGTGTTGCTGTCGGATTCGG